TCCACAGATCTTTTCAAGTAACAGTTGTTCATCGTCGAGCAGTTGCCGGATGAAGTGATATTTGATCTGTATGTGCTTTGTTCTGGAGTGAAATGCTGGATTCTTGGCAAGGAAGATTGCATTCTGACTATCACTATATAAAATACATTTTCCATTCATCTTGCCTAATTTTTGCAGGAAACTCTATAGCCATACCATACTATCTCTTTTGCAGACTCTGAAACTGCAACATATTCAGCTTCTGTCGTTGAAAGAGCTACTATTTTTTGCAAGGTAGAACTCCAAGAAACAGGAGTGCCTCCTAGAATGTATATATAGCATCTAATACTCTTTCTGCTATCAACATCTCCTGCTAGATCAACATTTACAAAGCCTTCAAGTTTCAGACCGCCAGCTGTGAAAGTAAGACATGTCTCCAATGAGCCTTTTAAGTACCTCATGATCCATTTCACTGCCTCCCAATGCTGCTTTCCAGGATTGCTCATATATCAGCTTACAACTCCCACTGCATGGGCAATGTCTAGTTTAGTACAAACCATAGCATACATCAAAGAGCCGATATCTGATCAATGTATCCACGTTCTAGCTTAGTTTTTGGTGACTGATCTCTACTGAGCTTGAAATGATTTCTCAAAGGTGTACATATTGACTTAACATTATCCATACTAAACCTGCTGAGAACCTTCTTGACATACTTTGTCTATGAAAGCTTTAGTATGCCTTTGTCTTTGTCTCTGATGATTCTCATGCCAAGTATTTGTTTAGCAGCTCCCAGATCCTTCATTTCAAACTGTTTTGACAACTGTTGCTTTAGCTTGTCAATCTCTTCCATGCTGGATCCTGCAATTAACATATCATCCATATATAGTAGTAGAATGATATAGGAGTTGTCAAAATGTTTGACATAGCAACAATGATCAGCCTGACATTTTGTGTATCCCGTACTACACATGAAGTTATCAAACTTCTTGTACCACTGTCTTGGAGCTTGCTTCAAACCATATAGACTCTTCTTTAGTTTGCAAACTTGACTCTCCTTTCCTGGTATTGCAAACCCCTCTGGTTGTTGCATGTAAATGTCTTCCTCCAATTGTTAATGGTTCACCACCATCTGTCAGCAAAATATAATTTAGTAGAAGTGTGAATCGTTATGGAGGCTTTATAATCCTTGAAGACCTGCAAACAACTGGTTCACTTAGTGGTGGGTACTGATATGCTTAAACTTTCTTGTAAGGACTTTTGAGTGGTAACATCGGGAAGCCCTTCTAATCGTATGAATTCAGATTTTTGTGGACTCCCATCTGAATCAGTTGTCTCTAGTTCTGTACTTGATCTGTCTTTGTACAAAACTTTCTCGTTGAAGATCACGTTCCT